AAAAAATAAAGCTTACCTCATCGGAGGAACTTTCGAGCAACGTCAGTACTATTGATTTATAGTTTGCGGCTTCTTCGGGTGTATATGACCGCTAAAATGCGATATAAGCTTACATTATGAATAAAAACTCCGATTTAACTCAAAAAAGTTATGGAAATGGTAAGGCAGTCCATTTTGAATAAAGATTTGATAGTGACTTACATTGACTCCTTCATGATCCTCTTTGATAGCAACACCTTGGCACTCCTGTTCTCTATCTTGATCGACCAGCTCATCAGACTCTAGTCTCTTTTCGTCTTCCTCCATAATACGCTAGAAAGACATAAAATTGGAACTGTCAGGATTGATAAAGTGAAATGATCTCGACTACGTTAAATGAATGAAAAAGCGATGTTTGCGGTAGAGTTGGAATGACTCACATTCAGAACATTAAATCCAGACTGCTTCGAGGCCCCTTTGTTTCCATCAGCCGTAGAAGTAGACGGTTTTAACGCAGCTAGAATCTTTTCGGAAAGGTAGTTGCATCGCCGTACCAGAGTGCTCTTTTGTGGAGCCTTCATGTTATCCAATTTCTAAGCAAAATGAATACTACTCAAAAAAGCTGACTTTTCTTTCTACAATAAAATTACCACAAAATCCTTAAGGCTATTGTCATCGAGGTGATCCAGATCAAATCGCTTTCGGTTTATCCCATCGCCTTGAATCTTCTCCATTTCCGCCTCGTCCATCTTCACGCAGTCGGCAAACGGATCGCTAGGGTTAGGAAGGACCTTAGGGGAAAAATCAAAAAGCGGCGGGGATGAATAAACTGTCATTATTAGGACTAACAGTAAGACATTGCATATGGGAAGCTAAGAAGGAAAATTTTACCTCTCGTTCGCGATGAAAGTAATGAGATTGAAAAAACTTGGTCCAAAACTGAGCTTCAGTCATTTCATGAGGAACAAGCTCCAAATGCTTCTTCTCAACTAAATGAAGTAAAAACTGATACATATACATTACAGA